AAAAATTTATTTTTAAGCGCCTAATTTACTTTTAGACTTGATTGACTTTTAGTGGTTTTAAAACTATTTATTTGATTCATATGTCAATTTTAAATAATAAACCGATTATAAATAATAAACCGATTTTAAATAATAAACCGATAAATAATATAACCGAAGTTAGTGAATCGATTCTTAAACTAAAGTTTAATGAACCGATACTTAAACTAAAGTAATAACCGATTCTTAAACCAAAGTAATAGTAACGCAGAAATGCAATGTGTTGTATCAGAAATAAATAACTTTTGCGTTCACAAAACATTTGTAATTTATTTGGACGTAATTGTCGCTCTTGAAGGCCCATTTGTTGTATTTATTTATATGTGTTTTCTATTTCAAGTTTTTTTATTTTGATAACAAGATTTTTGAATTTGTTTCATATGAAATTCAAGTTTGTTCTAAACTATACTTTATTTGAAATTAGTCTCTCTTTATTAGTTTGTATTTTGTAATAGTAAATATTTTGTTACTGTTATTCCATAAAAAAATATTTACATACCAGCAGTTACTGATGTATTACATAAACATAGAGAAATGGTTAAAGCTGAATCCGAAGTAAATGTTTCAAGTGAGAAATCGGATTTATTTATTTATTTATTTAAAACTTAATTTTCAGTTGATTGTTTTCAATAGTTTTATAATCAACAAAAACTAATTAAAATCAACACACTAAACTGTATAAGATAATACAAACAAACATACATATCGTGAATAAAAAATAAATAAAATAAAATAAAAATAGCTTACATAGTAAATAATATAAATGCCAATAAATACAACAAGTTGGTTATTTTCGACGTAAAAATAAAAAATAAAAAAAGTTATTTTTGACAGATTTCACAAAAACAAGATTCTCCGTTCCATTTTAAAATACTTTTTTTGAACATCTTAAGACAATTTATTGACATAGTTTCATTGTCTAGGGAGTTCCATAGCGAGGTTGCTCTATATAAGTTACTTTTTATGAACTTATGTTTAGAGACTATGGGTGGGAGTACTAATTTTTTACTACATCGAAGACTTAACGGCAGGGATTTTTTGATAAAAAAATCTAACATAAAATTTGGATTTAACCATTTATAGGTTTAAAAACTTCAGTTAACAAAAACCTTAAATTTCTAAAGTGAATACTTGGGATGTTTTCTATTTTTTGAATTTCTTTTAATGGGAGATCAAATTTTTTATAGACAATGCGAAGTCCTTTTTCATGAATTTTATTAATTATTTTATTATTATACTTCGAACAAAACATCCAAATCAAAGGACAATAGGAAAAATTTGACAGTATAAAAGCATTGAATAAAACAGTAGCTTGTTTTACTGATAAGATGCTCCTTATTCGTGCAAGAGCGAAGCATTTACCATTTGCTTTTCCACACAGACTTTTAATATGATCATCAAATTTCAAATCCTTATCAATTGTAACCCCGAGAAGTTTAACCTTAGAGGAAACTATGATTTTTACATTTCCAATCATTAAAAATTGATCTTTACAATTGATACACATGAAGACAAATATAAAGAATATGAAGATCCTATTTCTTATGTTTGTAACCAAGAGCATCTTATTCCTATTTTATCTGACAATTCCAAACCATTTTTTTCCAATTCCATTTTTCAAAATGATATCAAATTAAAAAAAGTAAAAAAAATAAATTTAATTCTTAGCTGCAAAAACAAGGTGGAATAGTATAGAGAAAATGGTATTTTTTGGAGAAAAGGGATTTTTAGCAGTAAAAGAATGTTTTAGCATTGAATAATCTTGGCTCATCTTATTTGTGGAAAGAACCTCAATATCATGCATGTTTTGAACTTCATAAAGTTTTAAGACCCATTCGTAGAGCAGTCGAATCCTTAGAGCAACGAGATGCCACTTTATTGACTAGTGAAGGTATATTTACATTTCTCTTAAATGAACTGAAAAATTTAAAGTCTAAAATAAGTTTGAAATCATTTATGGCTTTAGAAGAACAAACTCAAGAAAGTATAAAAGTTGAAATTGCAACTCTTTTACTGTATTTGCAAAATCCTAAAAATAATTCCGGCCCAGAAAAACATCTAATATACTATAAAAATCTAGTAAACTTCCTTTAGCTTCAAAAATCGACATTATTAAATTGTCTGAATCTACAATATTTCAAAATTCTTGTTTTTACACCAATTCTGAGGAAACTACTCATCAGAGCAAAGTTTTCTTAAAAAAATATCATAGAAAATTTAATTAATAAATTTTTTGAAGAGGCTGCAGAATACCTCATTATTCCAAAGACACTAAAAGCTGAATTTTCATTATTTGAGGTAACGCATAAAAGAACCAAAATCTTAGATTTGTTATTTGATGCACTTAAAACCTTAAAACTGAGCTCAGTACCAAGTGAACGTGTATTTTCAATTGCAGGTAATTCTGTGTCCAAAATTAGAACAAGACTAATTCCACCGTTTCGTGGACATATTATGTTTTTAAAAATACTATTTTCTAAGAAAAAATTACAATAAGTGAAATAAACATAATAATATATATGTATATTATTGTTAAAAGTTATTAAATTTTTATCCAGTTTTTTAGGGAATTTGGAAGTCGAAAACCGGGTTTTCAAAAAGTCGGTATCTGTCCAATCCCTATTTCCAATTATTATCAATAACACAATAATAAAATATTTTACAGCTGAATCCTTTATACTGCTCTTTTTGGTATCCTAGATATCATACCATCATAATTATGATCATAGGAGTATAATTAATGAATAAAGCAGCTTAAAATATTAGGCTAAAAACATGTGACCATATATAACTACTGAAAAAACTTGTTACTATGTTTTTAGCGCGTGTTATAGTGTGTTGTTTTGGTGTCCTAGAGTTATGATACATTCTCAGAAGTATTTTTAGGAACAAAGGAAGCCCTTTCTTTAAATTTTGAGCTAGAAAATATATCATGACCGTTTCATGTATTTGTACGTATATGTATTTGGTAAAAATAGGCTAATTTGGCGTATTTGTATTCGTATTGCATTTGATAAAAAATTTCCTAAATATTTTTAATTAATTAAAATGAATTTACAACCCCATAAACTAAATTAACTAGTGTTTTTTCGAGAAATACCAAGAGTTTCGTTTTTTTTTTTTTTAATTTTTGACACTAAAATAAATTAAAAATTTATTATTAATGGGTATTTGTTAGAAAGCTTGTTTTCATTCTTCTATATAGTAGACTGTTTTATTAATCATGTCTTAAAAAAGTTATATTTTTTTCATAACCTAAACTATAAATATCTGTATTTGTATTTGGAAAGTGCCGATTGAACATATTTGTATTTGAATTTGTATTTGAAATTCTAGAAAACATATTTTTAGTTGTATTTGTATTTGATCAAACGTATCTGACCCCAACACTGATCATGACTAAACATTATTTTCCCATTCTGCATAAAGATATAATTCTAGATTTGTGTCCGTAAAAATGTCCAAAACAAGTGCCTAATAAACGTCTCACTGGGGAAAATAAAGGTCTGTTTTGGGTCAAAATTCAATAACTTTTTTATTACTAAATATTAGGTGATGAAATTTTGCACAAATGTAAAGTAGTATATGACACTTCTAAGAAAATGTTTTTTACAAAAAAAAAAAAAAATTAATATAAAATTTGTAAATAAAAATCAAAAACTTCGAAATTGTCATTTTTATTTTATTTTAACTAAGATGTTCTTTTTAATTACATGAAAAAACTTTAAAAGTAATCGAAGCAGCAAAAAATATATAAAATGTTTATTTAATTGGAAAATATATTCATATTAAATTTATATATATAAAAAAAAAAATATTTATACAAAATTTCAAATAAATTCTAGACAAATAACAAACACATACTTTTTAAACATTTTGACATTTATGTTCCTTATATTAGGTTTAATTCCTTTTTTAGTTTTACTTTTTAACTGTTGCGTGTAATTAATTAGTTTGCATGTTTCAACTTTTACATGAATATTTTTAAGACTTTATATAATGCTTATTATAAAAATATTCAGAATAGTTGATAAATAAAAATTTTTATACAGTAAGTTTTTATGAAATAAATTATAGATTGACTTTCATAAGCTGCAAAGTATCTTTATCAAATTAACTTGATAAAGATACTTTGAAATATATTACGATCCCTACATCAACAGCATTAGAAAACCGTACAGCAAAACGCAGATTTCTGCGTTTTGCCGTACGGTTTTCTAATGCTGGTAATAAAGGGATCGGAAGGTACAGAAGAGTATGAAATACATCCTCATTTGTAGACATTAGAATAAGTAACTTTTAAAAATTATAAAAACAAATGACCAGGCTGAATTATCCTAATTCTAAAGATTTTTTTTCATGATTAATTATTTAATTTTAATGCAATTTCCTGGTTGCTAGATAACTACAGTTATTACATAAATAATTAAATCAATTTCCAACTTCCTGTGAAATATTTTTCTATAACTTAAATTTTTTCTGATGTTTAGGCATTCTTACTAATAAGCCTACTGATGGCGAAACAAATTGTTGAAGAAAGTTAGATAAGTGTTTTTACTAATTTATTATTGCTCTGTTCTTTAAGAACATCGAGCACTCTATATGTAGGATACACTAACATAATTTTTAATTTAAATTATGTTATTGTATCCTACATATAGAGTGTTAGTGTATCCTACACATTAAGCAATAATATAGTAAAAACACATCTAATTTTTGTGCTCTTATATATATATATATATATATATATATATATATATATATATATATATATATATATATATATATATATATATATATATATATATATATATATATATATATATATATATATATATATATGTATGTATGTATGTATGTATGTATGTATGTATGTATGTATGTATGTATGTATGTATGTATGTATGTATGCATGTATGCATGTATGCATGTATCTAATTAAAAGAAATAGACATTCTTACTAGAAAAATAGCACCAAAGAAGCACCCTACACAAGCGTTCATACACATAATATTTGCAAACATTTGGTTTCCACGCATTCTTTGTAGATCTTGTTACTTGTAACAAATTCTTTATTAAATCTCTTTATGATATAATATTATTTCGATGGATATCCTATGTTAAGCACAGATTCAAATTTATTTGAACGTCATTATTTATTTGAACGTCATTTTAAATAAATAGTTAAATAAATAAATCAACGAGTGAATTTGATTTTGTTTAAAAGATTGCAACAAGAATTTGTTTTTGTTTAAAAGATAGCAACAACAACTTTCAAGATTTGGTGTACAGCAAAAACGGGTTGTTCTTTTAAATAATTATATTTAAAAAGAAATAAAAAATAAAAACTTATTTAATACAAGCAATGTTTTTTACAAATACATATAATATTTAGTAACTGTTTATATTATCAACTGATATATATATATTTATACTTTTAAATCAGCAGTTAATAAATAGCTTTAAAATAAATTAAAGCTAATAAATTTGTTTAATGTTTAAAGTAGTCTTTATTCTCATAAATCTGTTTTTTCTCAGATTCTCAGAAATTACTTTTTTCCGCCTAAATCTTATTATAATATTAAGAACATATGAATAGATGGACATCTATAGATCAGAGGCGCCGCTAATTACTGAAATCTTATGCGCTATATAATTTTTAACTTTATTTTTGAATTTTTTTTACTAAATAAAATGACATTTATCCCATATTTTTCTATGCTAACATCTTTCATTAAACATTATATTGCTCATGTGACACTTTTGTAAAATATAAATGCATTTATTTAACTAATTATATATATCTGAAATTCATGCATTCATTTAACTAATTATATATATCTGAAATTGAATATTTTATCAATTAGTTGTTCATAGTATTTAATATTTGCCAACTCAAGTTTAAAACTTGCCAATTCAAATGCTAAATGTACCAATGTGCAAACTTAAATTCACATAATTGCAGCTTAGGGCGAGTGTGAGGAAGGGAATGGAGGTGGATACTCTACATCCCTCCTTCGAGATGACTTTGAATATAGATCATTTTTAGCTCAAACTAGAGATTTCTTTTGATTTCTTTTTGCAACAATTAGATTTCACTTATCTCTTAAGGATTAAATTTTTTTTTTTCTCACAATTTTGTTCTGAAATTTTTCTAAAGTTTAATCATCATTTTTTATCTAAAGTTTTCCTTACAAGAAGAACTGTAATATAGTTTTACAGGAGTTGCCTAGGGGTTATTAAATTTTTAAATTATTTTTACACAAAATAGCAAAATATATTGGTTACAATACTTTACATAATAAAATTTCTCTTTAATTGGATAGTTTAGACAGTCGACAGTTTAAAGGATTTAAAGTTTTAAAGGATTGTGACACAGCTATTACTTATTGTTTTGCCATTGTTCGTTACAACAACTCATAGTGTCAATATTTTTTCTTTTAGCAACAAGTAAAACAACTGGCTCTATTTATTCGTCCATGAGAACTCTATTCATTTGTCCATGAGAACTCTATTCATTCGTCCATGAGAATATGTAGTATTTACTTGTTACTTGGCTGTTCATGCATTTTTGAACTAGAATTGATGACCCTTTTGTAACAACTGACCTGCCCCGCGGGTTATAAAAACCGTTTTTATATGAAAACTAACCCACCTGGTAGATGATCAATATTTTCTAAATATATTATTCTTTTTTATTTGATAATGGATGTTTATAAAATTGGATTCTCTTTCTTTATAAACTTTATCATACTTTACTTTAAACCTCATGAAAATTCTATAAGATAAGTTACTTCTGCCCAATCTATGATCGGAAAAAGTAATGGTATACTATTCTCTACAACTAGGAGTTAGACTGCTACTTATTTTTTGCACAAGATAAATCGCGTTAAAAAATATAATTTCTCAAGAAACGCTACAGTATTAAACATTTAGCTCAATAATTTGCATTTGATAAAAAATTTTAAAATGTAACTAACGCAAAGACACATGAATGGGTGAGAAGTTAAGTCAAAAATTCCACGGCCCTTACTTAATAATAAAAGTTTTGGACAAAGAAGTTTATAAGCTGCAAGATGAAAAAAGAATTATAGAACAAACTGTAATGCTATCAAAGTCAAAAGATGAAATGAATCACAGAAACACACACTTACAAATAAACTTGCAGCCTTCGGTCAAAATATTGATGATGTTTTAGCAGTAGTTTGATTGAAAGATTTATTTGAAAATAATAATAAACTAAACGTTCAAAAATCAGATCCTAGACTTCAAATTACAATATAACAGTTAGAAAAAAACAGTTCTTAACTTCAGACGCATGGCTGAACGACAGAATTTATGATACGGTTAACAAAACCGTTTTAGCACATTTAAGTAACAAAAATTACCATTTAATTCTATTAGTTTAGACACGATTTGAGTCCAAAACAGTCACGTTCGAATAATAATCGACTGTGAGTCGATCATCATTCTTCGCTACTTCAACCATTGAGTGGCAACTGCGTGAATTTAAGCAAATTTTTTTTATTTAGGTCTCCTTTATGGCTCTTCATGTTAAAGCTCAACTCTACGTTAATCTTCAAAACCCCAAGCGTTTTCTTCCAGTAACAATAGTAACATACGCACTAGAAAATTTTTAACATGTTTTACCCATCAAAACTTGGTAGTAAAAATTTTAGTGACTATAAAAATTTAAAAGCATGCAGCTACTATAAATCAGTCTTACTTTAATCACTTAAGTGTCACAATTTAACAGGTTTCAACTACGGCATATTGCAAATCAGAAAGTTGGAGATCGCAAACTATCAATAATACATACCACTAAAAGAGATTTGTATTAGAAGAAAGTGGTAAAACAAAAGCCTGTGAATCTACATACATTGCTGGCATAAATCAAACTTTTAATCGCATTGCTACAGAGTGGAGGCTGGTGCAAAAAGTTTTATTAAAAGTTTAATAAAAGTTAATATTGCCATGGAAAAAATTTTATTACTACTTCTAAAGCTCATTAAGTATTAATAAATATGAAACAAATAAAAAAACTGTTAGTGGGTACCTTAATTTTTAGTCACTTAATAAAAAAGTATTGAATTAGCTTGATATGACTATCCAGTGGGCAACGGACCAAAAAAAGACGTCTTTTAAACGTTCAAAAGACGTCCAAAACATTCAAAAGACGTATAAAAAAGACATTTAAAAGACGTCTTTTTTATATCCGTGTCCACTGGGTATAATTCAACTGCATTGAATTATAATCACTCCATGGAAATTGAAGCAGTTAATGCATTTTTTTTGCAAACATTCATTGAATAATATTATTTAGGTTTAAGTCTGAATACATTTAAGCCAACATACATTTTAGGAACATACACTTTTCATACAATTAAATCATCATACATTTAAATTAAGATTTTTATGCTGCTCATTCATTGAATAAGCAGCAGAAAAACTTTGTTTTAAATGTTGGCTTGCAAATAATGTCATGCGATTGGTGTCCTAAATTTTGTCTAGAGATGAAACGGTCTTACAAGATTAATTTTACTTTACCAGCAAAAACTACTTAAAAAAATAATAACATCAGTTAAACGTTAAGATAGTGTTGACGTTAAACTTGACTTATTGCAATCAATGTATGTTACAAATGACTGTTATCTTGTGTAGTGTGACATTTTGTTGTGTGAACACCACAGAGCATAGTTATAGATAAAATCTACTTTAATAGGTCATTCGGGAGTTTATAAATTGAAAAAATTTATTAGTTATATAAAAAGTTGCTAAATAAAATCATTTTTTGCAGCTGAAAACTTGATTAATTATCTTACCAAAACGTTTAAAGCAATTATTTGGGTTGATAAAATAAGGAATTTACAACTTACATACATAAAAGTGACATCTTTTAACTTGTAAAACAGTTTAGACAAATTCAGAAATTGTTGCAGAAAAATATGCTCTATTTTTTTAGCTCATTTTAATTTTTTTATGTCTTAAAAAAACGTCATTTGAACGTTTTTTTGAGACTAAAAGACGCTCAGAACGTTCAAAAGACGTCTTTTTAGGATTCAATGCCGGCTTGAATAGTTATATTTGTGGATGATTTTATATATTAAAATTTCCGAATTTTTTTTTAACTCGTTTAACCTAAATATGTTTTTTTTAAAAACCTGTTTCAAGGCAATTAACTTTCAACATCTTTCTATTTTAGAGTCTTCTTTATAACTGATTTAATTTTATGTGAATATTTTTGACATGTTTGTATCATTTTAGCGCATTTAAAAAAAAAAACGATTTGATACTCATATGCAATATAACTGTAAAGTTGCCTTTTGCAGCGTTATAGTTGCAATCTAAAGAGACTACGTACCAAATGGTTCTTGCCAGGACGTTACCTGTTATTTTTTTTACGTTAGCGCCTATATATATATATATATATATATATATATATATATATATATATATATATATATATATATATATATATATATATATATATATATATATATATATATATATATATATATATATATATATATATATATATATATATATATATATATATATATATATATATATATATATATATATATGTATATGTATATATATATGTATATATATATGTATACATATATATGTATATATATATATATATATATATATATATATATATATATATATACATATATATATATATATATATATATATATATATATATATATATATATATATATATATATATATATATATATATATATGTATATGTATATATATATGTATATGTATATATATATGTATACATATATATGTATATATATATATGTATATATATATATATATATATATATATATATATATATATATATATATATATATATATATATATATATATATATGTATATGTATATATATATGTATATGTATATATATATGTATACATATATATATATATATATATATATATATATATATATATATATATATATATATATATATATATATATATATATATATATATATAAACAATCAACAATTGCTAACAAAGTATTAAAATTTAATAATCTAAATATATTTAGATTATTATTTTTTAAAACTTTGTTAGCAATTTATTCAGTGGTGATTCAAGGAATGAAATAAGGTGTGACGGGGACAAACCCTTAAAA